AAAAAAAAAAGAGTCTCATAGAACTTTCCTGCCCAAACTGACTTTGAACCACGATCCTCAGGTCTCAGCCTCCTTCAATAGCTATGATTACAGGTGCGCACCACCAGCACTTTTTAAAAGGTCTTTTTTTCTCTTCCTTAAAAATGGATTTGGGGACACACTGTCCTGCTGGAAATGTGTCTCTGACTATATGCAATGGAATTTTGTTTGTTAGTACTGCTGCGTGTTTTCATATGACTGTTTTTGTTGGACCATGCTGTAAAACCAGAATAGTTTGGAAGTTACTCATGGCAGAGAGCGGCACACGTCAAGGGTTCCTGTAATAATTTTAACCAGATCCCTAATACGAATGCTTCCTGAAAGAAAAGGGTTTTGTTGGTAATGATGGCTATTTCCAAACATCTTTAAAGCAATTCCATACTTGTAGCTAATAGCATATACCAAGTTCACTTACACTGAGAAGTGGTAGAGAAAGACTAGAATAGTCTTTACTTTGAATAGTTTTTTTTTGGTATTGATACTGGAGCTGAAACTCAGGGTCTCACTCTTGCTTGGCTTTGTTGCTTTTGGCTAGTACTCTATCACTTGAGCTATGCCTCCAGTCTAACATTTTGCTGGTTAATTAGAGTCTTGCAGACTTTTTTGCCTGCCTGGGCTAGCTTCAGCCTCTTGAGTAGCTGGGATTACAGGCATGAGCCACCAGTCCCCATCTTAATAGCTTTTTTTTTTTTTTTTGGCAGTTATGGGGCTTGAATTCTGGGCTTGGGCACTATCCCTCAGCTCTTCAGCTCAAGGCAAGCGCTCTACTGCTTGAGCCACAGCACTACTTCCGGTTTTCTAGTGGTTTATTGGAGATAAGAGTCTCACAGATGTTCCTGCCTGGGCTGGCTTTAAACCGTGATCCTCAGATCTCAGCCTCCTGAGGAGCTAGGATTACAGGCGTGAGCCACCAATGCCCGGCAGTGTCCTTCTGCTCTTCAGCTCAAGGTGAGCGCTCTACTGCTTGAGCCACAGCACCATTCAGCACCACAGCACCACAGGGCCTCATGAGTGCAAGGCAAGCACTCTACCACTGATCCAATTTGTGGGTTTATAAATTTGTTTTTTTGGGGTTTTTTTTTGGTCGTGGAGCTTGAACTCTGGGCCTGGGCGCTGTCCCTCAGCTCTTCGGCTCAAGGATAGTGCTCTACCCCTTGAGCCACAGCGCCACCTCTGGTTTTCTGGTGGTTTATTGGAGATATGAGTCTCACGGCCTTTCCTGCCTGGGCTGGCTTTGAACTGCGATCCTCAGATTTCAGCCTTTAGAGCAACTAGGATTACAGATGTGAGCCTCCAACACCTGGCGGGCTTTACATTTTATTTTATTTTTTGTGTGTGTTGGTTTTGGTTCTTGAACTCAGCCTGGGTGCTGTCCCTGACCTTTTTTTGCAGGGTTAACACTACTACCACGTGAGCCACAGCTCTTCTTTCTGCTTTTGGATTAATTGGCAATAAGAGTGTCTGTCACAGCCTTTTCTGCCTGACTCTCAAATCTCAGCCTCAGCTGGGCGCCGGTGGCTCACTCTTGTAATCCTAGCTACTCGGGAGGCTGAGAAAGTCTGTGATACTCTTATCTCCAATAAACCACTAGAAAACTGGAAGTGGTGCTGTGGCTCAAGGGGTAGAGGCTTGCCTTGAGCTGAAGAGCGCAGGGACAGTGCCCAAGCCCAGAGTTCAAGCCCCATAACCAACAAAAAAAAAATCTCAGCCTCCTGAGTAGCTAAGAATACAGGTCTGAGCCACCGGTCTGGCTTATTTTATTTCTTTTCTAGGTGTTGAGGGTAAAGTCAGGTCTTGTTCCTGTTAGGTGGGGCTCTACCACTCCAGCTGTCTGCATCCATTCAAGTCTTTCCTTCTGTTTTCAAAATTGAAAAAAATTGTATTGATAGGATTATTACTTTCAAACTTCATTGAAAGTATTAAACCTTATCTCCAGTTACCCACCAAAAAGTTGGAAGTAGAACTGTGCTTCAGGTAATCGTGTTAGCCCTGAGCCAAAAAGCTCAGGGACAGTGTTCATGTCCTGAATTCAAGGACCAGCTCCAGAGCTTGGGGGGAGGGCGGGGGAGAGGTTGCGGTGGAGCTGCAGGAATACAACAAGCCTGACTCAACTTTTACAGGATGAGAAGTCAGAAAAACCCAGTACAGTCGAGACCGTAGTAGTAGTAGTAGTGTGTGTGAGTGTGTGTGTGTGTGTGTCTGTGTGTTACATGGGCAACATGGCAGATAGATTTACAATAACAACAAATAGTCAGGCACTGGTGGCTCACGCCTATAAATCCTGCTACTCAGGAGGCTGAGATCTAAGGATTATGGTTTGAAGCCAGCCCAGGCAGGAAAGTCCTGTGAGACTCTTGTCTCCAGTGTACTGCCAGAAAACCAGAAGTGGCACTGTGGCTTAAGTGGTAGAGCACTAGCCTTGAGTGTAAAAGCTCAGGGACAGTGCCCAGACCTTGAGTTCAAGTCCTACAACCAACAAAATAAAACTAATAATAGTAATAACAAATAAGGGAAGTTATTATTTTATTGCCTGGGAAGTAAAATAAGCAAATATAATGGTGGTCCTGACATGTGACTTAAGGCCTTACAGGAGAAGTAGGTATTATTGCCTAACCACTAGGAAGTGGGTGGGAGGGCTTTTATCTTCTTAGTAGAAGGACAAAGACTACCAAAGAACTACCCCTGCTAAGTTACTAGAGACATCAAATGGCAAGGGACAGAGGCACAAAATGAAGCGTCATCATAATGGGCCAGTATATATATTCTAGGGAGTGCCAGGACTCCATACAGCCTACTTCTAAAAGAAGAGTCTCATCAGTGTCCAGAGATGCCACTTCAGAATGCTTGCCAGAAAATTCTAAAGACACACAAAGTTATCTGAGGATTCCTTCAGAGGTAGGCTTCAAACTAATTTTTGATTAATGGTTGAGATTTTAGTAGCATTACAGATGAACATTTCAAGAGAGGCAGCTCTCATCTGTGAGGGTAGATGCTGGAAAGTTCCTTGCGTGTCTAGAGCCTGGGAGAATGGCACTGGGGTCAGAATGGATTTCAGAGAGTAGAGGGAGTAACTTGAGCTCTATGGTATAGTCTCTATTTTGTTCTCTCGTTGGCACAATCTCATCTCCAAAGTCAAAACATACATTCTTGGAGAACCCACGTGCATTTCAAGGTAAAAGGCATGAGAAGCACCTCTCCCTGGTGGGCCTGCTTGTGTTGCCCGCCCGCCATCTTGTGGCCAACACCTTGGAAAGGGTGACAAGTTTTTTCTTTTTAAGTTTGCTGAGCTCCTGGCACATAATAATGTGTCAGATGCTATTCTGAGTTCCAGGTTTCACCACTGGCCTCGCCGAACTAACCAGTGAGTAAATATGCTAGACATGAGAGTCCAGTGAAGACAGAGAGGGAAAAATAGAAGGATTATTGACTGGGAGACGAGAAAGAGACTGATACTACAGCTGGTCCAGGGAGATGCAACCCCAGATAATTTGCCTCCTGCATCTCTCGTTCAGATGAGTTTCTTTCAGAGCCAATCAGAGGTCCTGCCTCACTTGAGGCTTAGGACCAGTCCCTCAATTTGTTGGAAGATTTCTTAGGGGCAGTTAATAGTCTCAAATTCCTGGTGTGTATACACACACGTGTGCACATACACATACCAGTACAGGGGCTTGAACTTGGGGCCTGGGTGTTGAGCTGGAGCTTCTAGCTCAAGACTAGTGCTCTACCACTTAAGCCACAGCACCACTCCTGACTTTTGGGTGGCTAATTTGAGATAAAAGTCTCAAGAACTTTTTTTTTTTTTGGTCCAGTCGTGGGGCCTGAACTCTGGGCCTGGGCGCTGTCCCTCAGCTCTTTAGCTCAAGGCTAGCGCTCTACCACTTGAGCCATAGCACCACTTCTGGCTTTGTTCTTTTTTCTTATGTGGTACTGAGGAATCAAACCCAGGGCCTCAAGCATGCAAGGCAAGCGCTCTACCACTGAGCCACCTTCCCAGCCCAAGTCTGAAGAACTTTCCTGCCCAGACTGACTTTGAACCAAGATCCTCAGATCCTAGCTTCTTGAGTAGCTAGGATTATAGACATGAGCTGCTAGAACCTGGCTTTGAGGAATATTTTAAATACTTAGGTTTTTCTCCAAATAATTTTTCTTAGTCTTTTTCCTCTTCTCCTTGTTAGGGGAATGAATTAAGTCCTTGGTTGAGTAATAATGGA